CTGAAGAATAACTCTCTCTTTTGTGTAGAACAAACAAATAATCCTTTGATGTATACTCTTTAAACCATGAGTTGAATACTCAATCAAAACATCAAAGAAAACTAGCAAAATATCCCCAGATATAAACCCTAGAACCCAAGAAGAAGATCTGGAGAAGCAATCCTAGATTTGAAGCAACTTGCGAATTTATAGAATCTGAAATCGCGAGGTCCGCTCGAGCGTGGGAATTGACGCTCAAACGGGGATTTCGATGCTCGAGCGTGAAAACACGGATTACAGTATTTTTGCAGACACGCATACTTCTGGAAATCACCATTCTCCGCTCAAGCAGGGGAATGGACGTTTGAGCGGGGAGACAACTTTGAATGCATTTTTGCATTTTGCTTCAGAGGCGCTGCCCTTCGACCCCGCCGTGGCGTTGCCCCGGACCCGCCAAGGGACGCTGCCCCCTCGACCCCCGCGAGCTGACCGGGTAGCTCAATCCCCGTCATAATCAGCGAAGTGGTAATCTTGAAAGCATTAACATCACAAACTTCTCTGCAAGACACAATTCGGGTTGGATTCGCATCTAAACACTCATAGCCTCACTGAAATAAAAAGTGCGAAAATAAGTACAACTGAAAGGAGTTTTGTTCAAACGGGATTGTCAAGAAAAAACCTAACAAACACTATTAGAAAATGTCACTAATTGTTAATTTTCAGTGGCAATTTAAAAATTGTTACAAAAAATATCATTAACTATAAGTTTTAGCCACAATTTAAAAAAATCATTTCAAAAAAATGTCACTAATTTTCAACTTTAAGCGACAGTTTGAAAAATTCGTCATAGATAATTGTAAGTTTTAGTAGCAAATATATCATTTTTCAGTGTTAAACTCCAAAAATAAATAGAAAATTTATATAGGGCTGTTCATAAATTTTAGAAAATATAATAAATTTAAGAGGGTAAAGTTAGAATTAAAAAGAAAATAGAAAACATGACAAACTCTTCACACTTTTATAATAAAATAATAATTATAGTAGATTATTAATGGAGGAATAGGGAAATAGAGAAGAAGGACATTGTGGTATGGCACACTTTGGGGTTTCACCATGTCCCCTACTACCAAAAAGATTTTCCGGTGATGTTGACGCCGACTGGAGGGTTTGAGCTCCGGCTGGCCAATTTCTTTGAGCACAATGCAGTACTCAAAGTGCAGACTCCAGAACAAGTCAAGTGGCTTAATTACTCCTCATTAATGTTCTTGTGTTCTACACTCTCTCTCTCTAACTTTCTAGTTTCTTGAAAGCAAGGTCTCTCAAGTTCACTTCATCACTAAGCAGAAGATTTGCAAAGAAGAAAATGCATTTCATTTTGCTAAAAAGAGAAAGTATTCTTTGCCCACAAAGCAAGCAAAGGGAAAAATAAAATGTTAGTTAACTAAGCCACACTAATGGGGCCAATAATTCTCTGCTTTAAAAGTACTCTCACTCTGTTCATGGTAAGAAGAGTTATACTCTTTGTGATAAAAGTTATGAATAGTAATGATATGTTGTTCTTCCTTAGAAGAAAAGAACCTTATATTTTTTTTGTGAAGAAAAAAAATTATATATTTTGTGATAAAAATTATACTTTTTACACAAAGTGCATATTGTATGCACCCTTTTTAGAGTGCACATGGTAACCTTTCTCCAATTGGGATAAGAAGATAGAGAGATTTAACAGGGCGGTGGTCAAATATTCAAGCTGAATTCTTCCTTGTTACTATGTCTAAAGCTAAAACCACCTCTATCCCCGGACTTCATCATGTGGTGGGGAGAAATTTTTAGACAAAAAAAATATGACAGATTTGGATATAAAAATAAGTATTGAATATAACAGTGATATCATTTATGTGATGTCACTGACCAATTAAATATCACAAATAAAATTAGATAGTTATTTCTTACTTTCCACTAATCAAATAATATAGTATCAATAATTTTACTGTTATATTCAATATTTGTTACGGTAATTCACTAATAGTGGATAGGCTGTGCATTGCCTCCTTATAAAGGAAAGCTGACACACGAGGAAACTAGGATTTGCTATACATTAAAAGAACAATTGGTGCTCTTATTATATATTGTCAAACGGTACTTTGAAACATGAAACATCTGAATCAAAATTTCAAGTGCTCATGACTCTACAACTTTTAGTTGGCGCTATTGTCCTACTACAATGCTGCTTCATACCCACTCTTCAACACCCCTTAGACCCTCTTACACCTAGTGAATTCAACCAAGTTAGGCTCATAATCCAAAACTCTCACCTTGGTACTACTCTTTCTAACCTAACTTTTCATTTTGTTGATCTTGAAGAACCTGAGAAAAGTGATGTTCTCAATTGGCTATCTTCAAATAAACACAATGGGTCTTTCCCCTATCGCCGAGCCAAGGTTGTAGTTCGGGCTAGAGGTGAGACCCATGAGCTCATTGTGGACTTAGCCACCGGTTCAATCACATCGGACCATGTTTACACCGGTCATGGTTTCCCCCCATTCACTTACAATGAGCTCCTCCAAGCTAGTAGGCTACCCAAAAAACACCCTGAGTTCAAAGATTCAATTTCAAAAAGGAGGCTAAATTTGTCTGAAACCATGTGCCTACCGTTCACAGTAGATTGGTTTGGAGAACTTGTAACCAAAAGAGTGGTTAGAGTTTTGTGCTACTATCGTGGAGGAACAACTAACATCTTCGCAAGGCCTATTGAGGGGATAAGTATACTAGTCGATGTTGAGTCAGTGCAAGTTATCGAATATACAGATAGATTTAAAGCCCCTTTGCCTAGTGCCGATGGTACTGATTTCCGGTCTTCAGGGAAGGGGCCTAATTCGGCTCCTTGCAATGGAACCAAAATTGGATTCACCATCAAAGGCCATGAGGTCAAATGGGCTAATTGGGCCTTCCACATCGCGTTCAATGCACGAGCAGGTCTGATCATATCAACCGCTTCTGTATTCGATGCAGGAAGGAAAAAGTGGCGGCGCATGCTGTACAGAGGATACGTGTCAGAAACATTTGTGCCGTACATGGATCCGACAAGTGAGTGGTACTTCAGGACGTTTATGGACATCGATGAATTTGGATTCGGGCGTTCTGCTGACTCCCTCGTGCCATTGATCGACTGCCCTGGTAACGCGGTCTATATGGACGGGTACATGGCCGGGGCAGACGGGCAGGCACAACAGGTGGCTAGGGCAATATGCATATTTGAGAGGTATTCTGGTGATGTGGCATGGAGGCATACTGAAATTGGTGTTCCAGGACAAGTGGTAACACGGTTTGGCAATTTTGGTCATTTGGTTGCATATGTTTTGTGATTTTATGTTGTGTGATTTTGATTTGAATTGGTTTGGTTTTGCAGTTAACAAGTGGGGAGACAGAGGTTAGTTTGGTGGTTAGGATGGTGGCAACTGTTGGGAACTATGACTACATTCTTGATTGGGAATTCAAGCAAAGTGGTTCCATTAAAGTTGGGGTAAGAACAAACAAGTGCTTTATTACCTGCTTTTAGAAATGTTGATACTAGTTTAATTTTTTTTGGTAAATTACCAGGTAAGTTTGACAGGGGTGCTAGAGATGAAGGCAACCTCATACGCGCACAACGGTCCCGAAACAGAGGGTGTTTATGGTACCTTTGTAGCCCATAACACCATTGCAACCCATCATGATCACTTCCTCACTTACCACCTCGACCTTGACATCGATGGTACAAACAATTCATTTGTCAGATCGAAATTAAAGACAGCTCGAGCGGTGGGGATTAAGCCGAGCACCCCAAGAAAGAGTTACTGGACCGTGGTTAGAGAAACTGTCGAGTCGGAAGCAAAAGCCAGAACTCGGCTTGGCTTGGAACCAGTTGAGTTGTCAATAGTGAATCCGAATAAGATGACCAAGTTGGGGAATCAGGTGGGTTACCGGCTGATCACCGGACAACGGGCTACCTCCCTCCTGTCGGACGATGACTATCCTCAAATCCGGGCTGCCTACACGAAATATCAGCTGTGGGTGACCCCTTATGACCGGTTGGAGAGGTGGGCTGGTGGGTTTTATGCCGACCGGAGCCATGGCGACGATGGCTTGGCCGTTTGGAGCAAGAGGTACCCAAAAAACAAAAAAAAAAATTTATTGTTAGATCTGCAAACGAGTCGAATGGAACCATTTTGATGTGTTTGAATTCAACTTGCTGAACATTAATCGAAGTTTAATTTGAACTCAAGCAGAGCTCTAGTTCAACTTAAATAATCAATTTGGGTTGTCAAATATTTTAAAAATTTGAGTTTTGCTTGAGTCAACTTAATTAGATAAACAAGCTTAGCTCAAATTTGAAAAAAAAAATCGAATTTCAATTAATAGGCACATTAATAAGAAATGAAGATTATGGGTAAAATATAGAAGAATACCTATATTATTAATAAATTTCATTAATCAAATATAAAATTTTTATAAACACTAAATATAAACAAAGAAATAAAATCAATTAAAAAAATATTTTTGATTTATTAAAAATAAATATCAATTTTTTACACCTTTGTGTTTATGAGCCTATTTGAGTCAAGCTTAGTTTCAGTCGATTACTAAACAAGTCAAAAAAATTGACTCAAACTTTTTCATTTAAGTCACGAGTCAAGCTCAAGAAAGTTGAGTTCAAATTGTTCATAAATAATTTGATTCGTTTGTAGCTCTGATGATAATCTTTGATATTTTTTGTTAAGTGCAGAAATAGGTCAATTGTGAACAAAGATATAGTCCTTTGGTACACAGTTGGGTTCCATCATATTCCGATCCAAGAAGATTTTCCAGTGATGCCAACACTATACAGTGGATTCGAGCTCCGGCCAGCCAATTTTTTCGAAAGAAACCCATTGATCAAACAACAGTGTTCAATATGTTAAATTTTCCTAGTGCACTAAAGCTACTTGTCAGTGCAGGAAAATTTTATCAACAAGAAAAGGAAAGAAAATTATGGGTATTGTCAAGAAAAATTCAATGAAACAGGAAAACTACTCGACTAAAGTCAATTATCCACCATTGATGAAGAAGGCAATGCAAATGTTTGAACCTTTGTACAAGTTTTTTTAACAATATTATTAGAATTGACATGTATTTTTGGCTTAAGATCTGGATAAGCAAAAATCAAGTACTTTATATGAATTTAAATGTGAATATTCACATTTATTATAAAAAAACATATTTTCAGCAATTCGTATTAATTGATTTATAGAAAATTTGAAATTTCACCCTTACAAATTTTATGTTACAATTTGTATGTGTTAATAATATTCACAGTTTTCACTATAAAAAAAAAAACCCACCATTTTTGTGAATGCTCAGACCGATTGATTCAATTATTTTATATGGAAACTCAAAGTAGGCATATGTATATGTATATATTTTTGCACAGAAAATTTTATGGTGCACACCTCTTTTGATTATGATTTTTTTTGATTTTTAATTATAACTTATTAGGTTATTAGTTATGATATTATCTTGGACATGATTTAAGAGTTCTTTGGTTATACCTTATGTGGTATATGGTTATAATTTTTTTCTTTTTTTTAGTTATAACTCTAATAGAATCGAGTTATGATATTTGTGGCAATTAAACCCACAAATATCATAATTTGCATATGATATAGCATCGTTTTTGCGTGCACACATATATATATATACACACATCTGTATACATATAATATGTGGAGAGAGTTCAAAGGTGAGTTCTTTTGTAAAGGAAATGCTATATGCCTCAAATTTTTTACTAAATAAATGACCAAATATGTGTTTGTAGACCCCACACCTATGTGAGACATTTGGTCATTCATTTGGTAGAAAATTTAATATCCCTAACATTACCTATTATAAAAATTAAATTTACTACATACTCGGGGATTTAAATTGCATGTTGTGATTCTCTTATGAAGTATAGATTTTTAATTTGATTTAGAATTGGAGTTCTACACATTTGACGGGTTCTAAGAACACATTCGCCTAATATGTCAAATTCAATGTGACAGTTTAATAGATCTATTTTAACATACTAAATGAACTCTATGTGGTGTGTTAAAGGCTGATATGACATTTGGCATTACCCTCCTCCATATCAATTTTGACATGAAAATCACTTCATGTTTTAATTTTTTGTCAAATAAAAAAAGACTAACGATAGACAAAAGAGTCCAAATTTTAAAAATAGTAGAATAATAAATTTGACATATCAAGTGAAAAGTTTTCATGTCAAATTGACATATGCCAATTTGCCATCTAAGCCTTCAAAAAAAATTTGACATACTAAATTTTGAAGGTTTAAGATGCTCTAAGACTTGCAGAGGAGTTAAAAAAGAGATGCCACATCCCTAATTGAGTCTCCTTAATTTCACCTTCAATGACATGACGAAGACTTATGTGAAGCGGTCTCACACTTCTTTTTTTGCATCTTTAATCTCCTAATTCCATATCATTGAGGTGGAATTGAGAGGGCAAAATTAGAAAATGAATCATTTTTCGTATAAAAAAATAGATGAGAAGCCTATTTTGAAAATATCAAATTTTAATATAGTCAGAAAGTTACTAAAAAAAAAATTGTATAAAATTTAAGATATCAAAAAATTAAATTTTCAAATCAATATAATATACTATATAAATCCATTAAAAACTCCTTTAAAGGGGGGCGGGGGAGGGGGGGTTGGTTGTGTGTATGCTTGTTTGAGGTATATTCAACTGAGGGAGGTTCACTTAGACCGGTATACCTAAGTCTTAGGTGCGTTGAGCCCCATATCCCTTGGAAGTCTAAACATGTGCTTTTGAAAGGTGTAAAAAAATAAACAATTGAAATAAAGACCGCCACACATATACAACTCTTACAATTTCTACTCTCATCATGTGAACTTGTTACGTAGGATATTTATTTATATACAAGTTAAAATACATGACCCCTACTTATGTGAACTTTTTCTTTGGACATGGCGCCTCTAACTGGAGAGGAGTGTTGGACATTGATGAGCCTTGATTTGGTTCATGTCAATAATCTAAATCATTTAATATATACAACTTATCGAGTATATTATTTTTAAAAATGTTAGAAATTCTAAAAATTTTACCAAATGTCTCACATGGGTGTGGAACTCACATGGGATTCACATTGTGTGGGTCCCACACCCATGTGAGACATTTGATAAAACTTTTGGTAGAATATTTGGGGTCTCTAGCATTACTCTATTATTTTTGCAAAAAATTATGTTAATTGGAAATCGGTAACCATTTGATCCAATTGCATTTCTGTCGCAATTTACTTCAAAAATTATATTCAATTAACTTATTGAAAATGTGATCTGATCCAGTAGTTATCGATATCTAATTAATGTGATTTCTTATAAGAATAATGTACTCAACGAATTCTATATATTAAGTGGTTTAGATTATTGACATGGGCTCGAATCAAGGCCCATCAATGCCCAACACTCCTCTCCAGAGCCCTGTCCTCTTTCTTAAGGTTTAAAAAAATTATAACAAGTTTTACTAGTTTAACTTAATTGTATTAAATTTATTTAAAATTTTAATTTATATCACTCTTGACTCTTCTTTTATATTGAAATGTATATTTGACATTATTTATCTTAGTGTTTCCTATCATATGCATTAGTTTAAGTTTTTTTGATCTTACTAAAATGAAGATCAACATAATTATGTTAAAATTTATTGTTAAATACACTTGTTTTGTGGTAGTGCAATTTTTTTTAAACCGTAAAACGATTGCATTAGATTAAAAAGATTAGTTCAATATATTAGAAACAAAACCAACATTAGGAGGGCCACACCAATCCCTCTTCAAAAAAGAGTACAAAAATAAAAAGGAATGGTGTAAGAATAGTTCATCTTGCTAAAGAGTGGCTGCAAAAGAAGCAAGAGTATCACCTACTTGATTGCCCTCTCGATAGGTAAAACACAACCGAATGCTGTTGAATTTAGGGCTGAGTAAGAAATCCGTAAAATCCGTAATTCGATTCAGTCCAGTCCAATCCGATAGGTTTGGATTGGTTTTTTGAATCCGTGGTTCAGTTCCGGATTGAAGAATTAAAAATCCGTAGTCCACGGATTGGTTCCGGATTGAACCCCACGGTTCCGGATTGAAACCGATCCGGACCGTATACAAATAGTCTATATTTTTATTATACATCCGCCCCCATAGTATCTTCTCTTATTATATATAAAATCTAAACTCAAACCTAAACCTCGTATAATATCTTCTTTTATTACTTTTGTTTTTTAGTTTTTAGTTTTAATTTGTAATGGTTTAAATACTTATGGTGAAACCAGTTTTTTTATGATTGTTTAAATTTTAGAACATTATGTCGCTATTATAGAAAAACATGTTGCTATTGTATAACTAATACAGTGCAATGTTTATATTTTTATAAAATTAAAGTGTTATATATATATATATATATATTTGTTATTTAATTATGTGAATCGTGGTCCTAAACCGATTCAATCCGTGTTGAAATGGATTGGTTCGGATTGGTTTCAAGATTTAAACGGATCGGATTGGTTCCGATTTTTCAGGAACCTTAGATAACGGATTGGTCCTGATTTTATCCCAATCTGATCCAATCCAGACCATGCTCACCCCTAGTTGAATTCATCTAGAAGCTATAACCAATTTGGTAGAAGAGCTTGATGTTCACGGATCCTTGTTTGTTGCCTATGTAAAGCATGTAGAGTTTGATTAGAATCATATTCAACAATTAGATTTTTGTAATTTACCGTTAGTGCTTTTTTTAGTCGAGTGCGAAGAGCCCATAATTCAGCCGTATTACTAGAAGTATAACCAATAGGGCAAGCAAAAGTTCCCAAAAATTTGGTCTGATGGTCACGAAATACTCCTCATCCTTGTGAAACTTGGATTACTTTGAGTAAAAATTTAATGTAACAGTGATACCATGTCATCAGTGATATGAATTATTATTAATCAATAATAAACTTATATGGGAAGAATAAATCGCACTTATAGGATGCAACCACCATGTCATATATATATATATACACACGAAAAAAATAATAAACAATTCATATTAGATAAAAGTTAGGGATCATGAATTTTTTTTTATGAAAATGATCATGAAAGATTTATAATTTATGGATTACCTTGATTAGTGTGTGGTGCTTTATTTTAAGTATAATTCAAGAGTCACAAAATTTTCATAATTATTTTCATAAAAAAAATTTCATAATACATAATATTACTGTTATTAGTATTACGTTATAGAGTCTATACGTTTGTTTTTATTTGTTTTTTTTTAAAACCAACCCAAGGGAAACAGCAGCAAGACAAGAGGGAAAAGAACAGAGCATACCTTGGCAAAAGAGCCAACTGAAACCAGCTAGACTACAAATCAAAATACAGTACCAAAATAATAATAATAATAATGGCAATTGGCCTGCACCCCCTCTTTCCTAAATTTCTATATTGCATTAGAAGTCATCCGCAGTTGCCAAAACATAACCAGTCTTCGCTTTCACCTAAACAGCTGTTCTAACTGTGACTAGTTCAACTACCTTTCCCTATCTAGATTCTTATTCACAATTGGAAAATTCATACAAATTTTTGTATACAAAATCATGTAGTTTAATGTGAACATTTCATTTCAAGACAAAATATTGACAAAAATGATTTATATTTACAAAAGTAATACTGTTACATCATTTTTTGTTGCATATTGAACCATGTTAGAGGAAATGGAATTAAAATTACAAATTTCAGTCTAGAAATACTGAATTTCCTAACACCTTAGGTCAATAGTACATTTCTTTGTAGAAATGCTGAATTTTCTAACATGTCACGTCAATAGTACTTTTCTTTGTAGAATGGAACCTAGATTTACGACAATGCTACGTAGCTCAAATTTTGTGGCTCAAAAGTGGCTCAAATAGCCAAAACGACGTCGTTTTGAGAACAGAACAACATAAAAATTGCCAAAACGACGTCGTTTTGGCCATTTGAGCCACTTTTGAGCCACAAAATTTGAGTTACGAGACATTTTCCCCTAGATTTACTATTAACCTCCATTTCAATACTACTTGATTTGCACAACAATCAACATCAAGCGTGAATTATTCATTAACGTGTGTGGTATGGTTATTGTTGCACCTAACATCTTTTTTATTTGATTGTGTGATAACATTGAGATATGAGAGATGTGGGCATAGGATTCCTGCCCAATGTTGGTGATGAGTAATCTTAGGATTGGTTTGGGGTGTCCTAAA